AGGAGAGAGGACAGAGATGGCCAGTTCCCCACCATGCCCTGCCTGGCTGTCGTAGTGACTACCCAAACCATGCTGGTGCCCTCCTCAAGCTAGACAACACACCCCCCCCCCAGCTGCCCCCAGCTTGGGGAGGAAGATGGCATCAGAAGGAGTTGGGTGGGTGGTGAGCACAGGGTTGCCACCCCACCCAAGGGACAGCAGCAGAGCCCAGAAGCTGCAAGGATGGGGGGTCCAGCCCCTCGCTGCTCTGCCAGCGCCCCCCAAGGTTGACAGATGCTGGAGAAGGGCCCTGCACAGACCCCAGCACGGCACCAGGGCCCGGGCTGGAAGGTTGTAGGCAAAGGCCAGCACTGAGCTGGTTGAAGCTGGGCAGTGCACACCCCACCAGTGGTGCTGTGTGCTGCCTGGGGCAGGCAGCCCCTAGAGCTTCAGTCCAGGATGAGGGTGGGAAGTGGGCTGGCAGAGCTGACAGGAGGCAGGAGTGAAGGGCAGCGTGTGACCAGGACCCCCTGCCTTTCCCTGGAGCAGCTGGTGGTGTCTGGGGTGGGGGCACAGCACAGACGTGTGTGGGCAGCAGGCAGGTCTCTCCCTGCAATGCACCAGCATCAGCTGGAGGCAGAGGAGGGTAGGCACAGCCTGCATCAGAGGGTGACTGCCAGCACCAAGGGCTGGGGCAGAGAGCACCAGGGTGGCAAAGGGTGCAGACAAGGCAGCCCCTGTTGCAGGCAGCATGCACTCTTCCCAGTGCCAGGAGCAGCAGGACTGCGGGTACCAAGGGGCAGGCAGGAGCTGAGCAGGGCTGAAGGCAGCGGTGCCCAGCGGCAGCAGGCCCTGGGCAGCACTGGTGCCCTGTGCTGGCCCCTGCGGTAGGGCAGCCTGCCAAGGGCTGTGCTGAGGGCTGCGTCTCCGCAGGACGCTGGTGGACTGCGTGCCCCTGGTGGAGGTGGAAGACATGATGATCATGGGGAAGAAGCCAGACTCCAAGTGCGTCTTCACCTACGTGCAGTCCCTCTACAACCACCTGCGTCGCCACGAGTTGCGCATGCGGCAGAAAGAGTGCTAGAGCCTGCCCTGCCCACCGCCCCGCTGCCCCCTGCCCTCCGGGCTGCTGGGGGTCTGG